TTCCTGAGGCGGTTAGGAGAGCAGGTCTGTTCTTATCGAGATGACTGGCTAGTCAAAATCTTTGGTACTGTTGAGTATTTGAGTCATCCAATTGACATTCAAGGCCCTCGGGGCCTAGGCCTTCTGGTAAATATGGACCGGTCCAGTGTGGAGGATAGAATCTATTGGTGTAGTCACTGACTCTATTCAGGCCAGGGCCTACCTCCAAGAGGGATGATTCCAGTTAATCCGATCCCTGATAATACGCCTCAGAACTCATCACAAGAGGCTGAAATTGCATGAGGCTCCTAGGCCACGTGGCCTCACGCACATCTGTGGTACAACACGCCAGGCTGCACTTCGACCCCTGCAGACGTGGCTGGCCTCACCAAACAGATGCCGTCTGGGCACTTCCCTTATGGTATCTCCATGACTTCTTGTCTCTCTGAATGGCTGACTGGATCTTCTCACAGTTTGTGAGGGGGACTCCCTTTATGTGCCCTCAACCATCAATGACTCTGGCCTCAGACCTGTCAACGCGGGGTTGGAAAGCTCTGCCTTTGGTCTACGGCAGAACTTTTACTTCACATCAGTGAGAGGGGACTTGGAGAGCTTGATGCAGCCTGTCAGGCCTCTCTACCCAACATCCAGGGCAGAAACGTGTTTGTTTTCCCAAACAACACGGCAGCCGCCTGATATCTCAACAGGCAGGGAGGAGCTCACGCTGTTCTCCTTTGGCGGGACATGGTGCAGCTATGGGAGTTTAGCATGGTCCCCTCAATCAACTTGGAGGCCTCTTACCATCCGATGACACTCAGGGAGCCGACAGGTCACTTCACTGGTGCAATGCGCACAGGTGGTCTCTTTGTCTGGTTCTGGTGAGAGTCATTTCTGAGGGGGGAGGAGAAAATAGCTCTGTTTGCAAACAGCTACAAGAGCAAGTGTCACCAGTTCTACACCCTGCAAAGCCGCTGTCCCGTTCCATCAGCGTCTCCTTCCTACTACCTCGGACAGGACCTCCTCCCCCCACTTCCCCATGCACAGAGTGCTGCTAAAGATCAGGCAAGACCATGTCTGATAGCCCTAGCACAAGCCTGTCGACACTGGTCCTCTCCGTGCAACTCCAATCCCACATCTGTTGCACCGGGCCATGATTTTTCAGGACCACAGTTAGCTGCACCATTCGACGCTGGGCTCCCTTCATCCAGTGGCCTGGAATCTCCATGGTTAAATCTTAGAGAGCAGCGTTGCTCAGAGCAATATTCGAAGGTCCTACTAAGTAGTTACCTCTCAAAATGGCAGCAGTTCTCTGTCGGGGCACCCCCATGAGGAGTCTCACTCGTGCATTCGTCTGCACAAAAAAACAGACTTGTTCCTAAAACTGCAAGATTCAGACAGGTTCCTCTATTGAGGTTCTCCTGGTCTCCCTGTCAGTTTTCCACCCTCCGCCTTCCAAAGTCAGATTCCTTCTAATCTCAAGCGGGAGAACCGGTTCTTCCCCAGGAACCGGGTCTTATGGGACCATCGTTTGAACCTGTAGCATAGTGCTCCTTATTCCACCTCTCCTGGACAGTGGCTTTCTTAGTGGCTGTCATTTCAGCCAGAAAGATTCTGGCACCCTGTGCCCTCACATCAGAGCCTCTGCACACGGTCTTCTTGAAAGCTCGGGTGTAAATACTATCTCACCTCAGTCTCCTCCTGAAAGTGGGTTTTGCTGTTTCATAGCAAGCAAGCAAGTTGCCCTACCTGGCTTCCACCCAGAGCCTCATGCAAAGAGGAATGAATGACTCCTTCCCTCACTGCACTTGAGATGGGCTCCGTTCTGGGGTTTCTCTGCCCCATAACCCGACTGCTCGTCCCACAAGGTCGCTGGCATCCCCACCTGCTTCCCCAGAACAGATCCCTACTCAGGACGTTTGTAAAGTGGATCCAGAACCGCCGCCCCCTGCTGGAGAGAGCACAGTGAGATCGGCTTTCGGGTTTACAAATGTCTCACCCACTTCTACTCGAAACTGCGGCACGGAGGGGAGACGCGGGCTTTCCCAGTAGCAGAATGTCAGTTCCATTCCGTACGCTGCCTGCGTGCGCTTAGCTAGCAGTGGTAGCATATGGGTCCTGAGCTGTTCCAGATCGGCACCCTTGGGGGCTCTAACTCCAATACAAACCCACCCTTGCCAGCCATCCCAAATGTCTCACCCACTTCTACTCGAAACTGCGGCACGGAGGGGAGACGCGGGCTTTCCCAGTAGCAGAATGTCAGTTCCATTCCGTACGCTGCCTGCGTGCGCTTAGCTAGCAGTGGTAGCATATGGGTCCTGAGCTGTTCCAGATCGGCACCCTTGGGGGCTCTAACTCCAATACAAACCCACCCTTGCCAGCCATCCGTGTTGGTAAAGGCACAGGAAAGGCAGCAGGGCAGTCCTGGAGCTGTAAGAGATCAGTTGCAAACCCAAACACCAACCCCCTGTGCTCTCCTTGAGCCTCTTCCAGTGGGACCTGTCACTCTGGTGCCCGCGGTAATGGCAGGTGGGGCTTGGGAGTGCCGTTCATCGGGGGTGTTTCTAACCTGGCATTGGAAAGCAGCAGAGAGTAACCAAGTACCACCCTCCCCGCCGCCCCCAGCTCCTGCCAGCATTTGGGATCTGTCTGCCTGGAAAACTGCAGTGTAAGGATCTAGCTGCCTGCGTGGCTTCCCAGCTGGCAGTGCTAATAGCAAACGGGTGAGAACATCTAGCGGGGAATTCCCATGATTTCACTGTGGAGTGATCCATGCCAGTGCTGGCAGATGGCACCAGGGCAGCCTCTGAATGGACAGCAGAGAAAGGCCTTTGGAACAGCTATGAGAAGCACCTTTCCCTCATCATCTCATCTGGCAAACCAGGTAGGCCCCATAACTAACAGACAGGGCAGGATTCAGGTCATTTGCGGTTGGCTCCTTGGTTTGGCCTTTCATGTCCATAATAATCCCTAGGCCTAGATGGCCTCCAGCAGCAAGGGAATTCAGGAGGCCACCTTCCCACACTCACCTGCTGAAGGGTCAGGCACACTGCGGGCTTAAGTGCAGGGGGCTTCACCCTTCAGCAGCGCTTGGCTTGCCCAAGCAGATGATGCAGCACAGGTGGGCCTCATACACACTCAAACGAGTCTATAGGGGACATGAGGGGAGGGGTGTCAGGGAGTGTAAACTGTGGCCTCTCTGCCAGCCACACTGGACGGTGGGCCAGGAGGACAATAATAGAATCCCGTGGGTCCATTGGTACTGCAGCCTTGCACAGCAGATGCTGAGATGCAGTGGTCCATTGTACCGCAGCCTTGCTCAACAGATGTTGAGATGCAGTGGTCCATTGTACTGCAGGCTTGCACTGCAGATGTTGAGATGCAGTGGTCCATCGGTACCTCAGCCTTGCACAGAAGATGCTGAGATGCAGTGGTCCATTGTATCACAGCCTTGCACAGCAGATGCTGAGATGTAGTGGTCCATCAGTACCTCAGACTTGCACAGCAAATGCTGAGATGTTAAGTGATCTCTTTCCCAGCCCAGGGCTTTGAACAGACCCAGACTGTGTGTTCAGGAGGAAAATTCCATCCCACTGGCCCCCACGAGAACTGGGCTGGCTGCAGGAGAGGAGGGATCCCTACCCATAGGCTATATCTACACTACAAGGTTTTTGCTCAAAAACCAGTGGAGTGTCCGCACCTCAAGTGCGTTTTTGCACAAAAAAAATTCAGTAAATCGACAGGACAGAGGGCTTTTGCTGGTAGAGTTATTCATCTCCCTACGAGGGATAACTCTTTTTTGCGCTACAGCTCTTGTGCAAAAAGGCTTGTGTGGACGCTCCGCAGGGGTTTCTTGCACAAAAAGAGCCTATCAGAAAAAGCACAGGTGCTCTGATGGCCATTCTGTTAATGGAAAGCAGAGCTTTTTGCGCAAGAGCATCCATGCAGTGTGGACGCTCTCTTGCGCAAAAGCACATTGCTTTTGTGATGCACTTTTGAGGTGCGGACGTGCTTTTGCACAAGAAGTTTTTGCGGGAGATCTCTTCTGCAAAAAGCTTCTTGCGCAAAAACCCTGCAGTGTAGACAAAGCCATAGTGAACAGAAATTCTTGCACTCAACAAGCACACGCAACCCCTCGCCCTTCACCTCCCACTCCCTCTGCTGTCGCTTTCAGACGGTGTCCTTTGAAATGCCGTTGGAAAGTGTATTTTGCCATATGGCAGCTGCTGCTAGCTGGCACCCTTGTTTCCATAGTGTCTGAGCAGCATTTTTCTGGTAGGTGTCTACTCAGCAG